GTGCATATATATTTATTAAATCTCTCATGAAAACATATGCGGGTTATATATATTTTTAGCAGGATATTCTGTAAATTTAAGGTAAACCTTAATATCAAACCAAAGTATAGAAATAAAATGAAATGTGATTATACTTTTCAGTATGAAAGTTAATTTAGCATTTTCTGCTCATCTTTGTATCTGAAGTTATTTGTTGCTGCATATACTATGAAAGAAAAATTATGTGAATGATATGCGGTATTAACTCTAATGGACATCTGGTGTCATGGCTTTGAAGAATATTTTGTCTGAATATTTTCTTTCATTGTTTAAAAACTTCATCATGTCAGGCTATAGCCGAACTATATTTGATTGACAGACAACATGAGAAAGCTTTTGCCTCTATGCTGATGTAAGTTATTCATGACTTATTTGATTACTATCATATCTCACTAAATGCATCCATAATGTGTCGAGGATGTTTTGCCTATTTTTTGCTTTGTGCACTTGTTGCTTTCTCTATTACAATTAGCTCGCCGAGTTAAAATGCCACTATTTTCTGTAACTTTGCCCTCAGGCTCATAAGCAATGTTTGCTGCTCTTGGAAGCTTTTTTATACTACAATTCAAGTACATTTTTCGAGAAGCAAATTTTTTAGCAATAATGAAACAAAACTAAAAACATAATGCAAGTGAACATCTAAATATTGAATCCAATATTAATATTCATATTTAGTGAACCACGTTTCACTTATGTTTCGTGACGAATTTGAACTTGTTAATGAATCCATTTCTCGCTGACTAAGTGTTTGGATATTGACTACTGTACCAGTAGTAAACTTAGTTGCTTGCCAGATTATTATTAGCACGTTGTTTTCATAGATTATTCTTATTCAAGAGCTCAATTAATTGCTCAAACCTTTAATATCACATTAAATGGGATTTATTGGAGTTCATAGTTTGTTTTATGAATTATCTTCAACGATCTAATGGTAAATTTATTGTGTTAAGTGTGTAGTAGTTTTCTGCTTATCTGCTTACTTGCTCTAAGTTTTTGTTGGATTTTATAGTTTCTGAATTTGAAAGAGGAAAAATAAGTTCTTGATGTCTAAAACAATCCCAGATCTGTTTGAGTTCCAACTCTTTGACAAACCAACTCAGTCTGGGTACGGAAACAGTTATAATTCGGAGGCTTATTCTCAATAAACTTATTGCATGATGTTTACCCTTCTATTTGACTTGAATTACATTTTTCGCCCATCCAATAAACTTGAATGTTTTGACTTCTAATGCTTCCAGATCCAAATTTGTATTATAGATGCTATTATTGTATTTTTCAGATGAAGTTTTGCCAAGGAATGCAATGTGCTTTTATCAATTTATTACACCTCATGTAGCCTCGAAGTTTTGGTGATAAACATGTACCATATAAGATTAACTAATGCCATCCTGTTGGCTTTTGTTTGTGTTAAAGCATCTTTTTGACAATCTGTTCTGTGTAAATTTGGAGTTTAAGTCCACCAATAGGGGTTATTCATGCATTGCGACTACTCAAAACATCACAAATTTTATTGAATGCTTTTCATTTTTTTGTAATTTTTTGTATTCGAAATTTGTAGACAATGGATCCATCTGAAGTGGGCTATCATTGAGGAAGAGCATCAGTTGGTTCTCAAAAACTTCTGCAACCTTATTATAGCAGGCAATACTTCTCTTCATATTTGCTTAATAGAGGTATGGAAAAATGCTCATTTCCATAATAATTATCACATGTTTTGCTATTTTTTCTTCAAAAAATATATATTAGATTAGTAAAGAAAGCAAACATTCTTAGCATTCAAATTACATTGTTTAACTTTCTGGTCTTTTCTTCTATTATTAAGTGAATTCTAGAAGATTAATAGCAATTGATATACTCTAAATCCTCCCCAAAATTCATGCTCTTTGCTGATATACGTTATTTGTTTAGGTATGGAGTGGATCTAGCTTAAATTACAATTACATTTGAAAATTTCAAGTTCATTACTTAGAATATAGTTACTTTTAATTTGTTAGTTATAGGAGGAATCTATCACAATAACACCTCTATTTTCACAATTATTTCAATTTTTTACAAAATGTATTTTGGTTACATATTGCTTTGATGTTTTGAGTGTACTCTAACCTTGGTAGCTACTAGATTACTTGATCCAGATTCTCAAGTGACTCAAAAAGAAGCATGGATTAGATATAAACATAGAGCAGTGTTTAGGTAAAGCTTCTAAATTTAGAGTTACTATTAAACGAAATGTGCTCTTTTATTTGTTTCTTATACTAAAACACTAGGTCTTATGCCTCACATTCTCTTCTTTTCGCCTAAATACCACATCCACCCATGGCCAGAGTGGACCCATTTTATTCATAGTAGACTTGATGTAGACTTCAAAAACAAATTATTGTTGTTAGTTTTAAGCCTTCATTTCAAACTTTGTTACATTTCCTCATCTTAGGTTACAATATCAGTATTAATGCTATGGTATTATGTCAACTTCCAATTATTAGAAAGTAAACATTTCTAACTAATATGCTGGCTTGTCTGTGCAAAGGCATTTGAGAAGTATAGCATGCAAAATGAGGTTGTAGAGCACATAAAGAAGATCTTTGACAAACAGCACGGACCTATTTGGCACTATATTATGAGCAAGAACTTTAGTAACTTTTCTTAATCTTGATTCTTGAAAACTGTTGATCATCAATTGTATAGGTAGATACTATTATAAAAACTTACACCACATTTGATGCCATTTTTTAGTATAATATGTTAGCTGATATAAGTTATTTGTTTAGGTATGGAGTGGATCTAGCTTAAATTACAATTACATTTGAAAATTTCAAGTTCATTAGTTGGAATATAGTTACTTTTAATTTTTTAGCTATAGGAGGAATCTATCACAATAACACCTCTATTTTCACAATTATTTGAATTTTACAAAATGTATTTTGGTTACATATTGCTTTGATGTTTTGAGTGTACTCTAACCTTGGTAGCTACTACATTACTTGATCCGGATTCTCAAGTGACTCAAAAAGAAGCATGGATTAGATATAAAGTTAGAGCAGTGTTTATGTAAAGCTTTTGAATTTAGAGTTACTATTAAACGAAATGTGTTCTTTTATTTGTTTCTTAGATTAGAACACTAAGTCTTATGCCTCACATTCTCTTCTTTTCGCCTAAATACCACATCCACCCATGGCCAGAGTGGACCCATTTTATTAATACTATCTCTCTTCTCCATTCCAAATCGGCAGGGAGTTACTATATCTATAAACCGTAAAATCCTTCTTCAAGATGCTTTTGTTGTGTACAAGAAATTGTTGGAATATTTTGTCTGTGACGCCACCTCTTGCTTGGCTTTCGCTTGGAGCCACCACAATTTCCTTCGGTTTGATTTCTTATCTTTTATTTCAAACAAAATCAAAAATAAGAATTTGAAATCTTAAACAAGAGAAATAGTTCTGGTTATTATAAATGTTACTTCGAAATGTGTTCTAATTTACCTTAGGTAAACTACGAAGCTCAACACTTATTTTTCAGGTTTCAACAATAATATTGATCAACATCCTCTCACTCTTCCTTCAGAACCAACTTTCTACTTTTACATGAGTTAAGATTAAAATTACTATAGATGATTATCTCTTACATTTTTCCTATGTTAATAAGAAACATTATATAGCATTAGTAATAGTAAAGACCAGAAATATATTAAAATTTTGTTTCACATACTATCCAGTACTTAATTCAAATATTATATAAGACAACAAATACGTTTTTTCAGGAAGCCTATTTATCATTTTTAGATTTAAAAAATAGTATTTACCTCTTGCTATATTT